AATATGTTGTCTAGTGAAATGCTGTTTTAGAAGTGAATAAATTCAGGAAGTATACTAATTTCATCTGAGGGCACACAGAATGGTACCATAAATCAGTAAGCATTATTACCTGACACATGAAAGAATCTGTATTAAACATGCAGATAGTAAATATAGTAGAAGTAATGGTAGTAAAATGTCTGCCTTTGAGGTGCTTCTAAGAAGTCTTAGACAGGAAGAATACTTAAAATAGTAATTAATGATGCACAGTCATAGTTTATTGTCAAAAATGGCCTGATATGTTAATATAATAAGAAAAGAAAAAAGAGCATGAGAGTAAGAGCTGCTAGTAAACTTGAATTTGGGCCTTAGTTCTACTAGTTGTTAGATAATGTGTGACTTTGGCCAAACTGCTTGTTTAGTGAATTAGTTCTTTCACATATAAAATTAGATGGATCAGATGAATTCTAATCTTTTCTAGTTTTACTACTATGAATTTATTTTCCTGTTTAACCCATCTCAGAGGATGGTAAGGGGTCATGATGAGCAGGGAAGACAGGAATGACCTTAGATAGATGATACCTTTTACTTTTTTGGTTGAAAAAGAAAATTTAGGGAGAAACATATACACAAAGATGATAATAGCTCAGGAAATTCTTTGGTATACTTGGGGATTATGAGGCATAGGATTTGTGTCACGCATTCACACATGATCCAATTGATTCATTTGTAAATGGCCCTCAGTCTGTGGGTTATGGTTAACTGCTGAGGAAAGCATGACCAGGAAAAGCAATGATGCGTTGCTTTTAGTTGATTTTGTAATTAATCATGGCTTAGAGGATTTTTAAAAAAGATTTATTTATTTATGCATACGGAACTGGGGTGCAGACCAGAGGTGTAGGGACAGTGAGAGGAGTTAACCAGAGACAGAGTGGGGAGCAGAACTGGCAGATTGAAGAACACTGCAGAGGGGAACAGTGGGCAGGTCTGGAGAGGTCTGCCACGCCCTGAAGCATCAGCTTGCTTGCAGTTAAGTGCTTTAAGCATTGCGCCACCAGGTAGGGCATGAGAATTTCTTTAAACAAAAAAGTTAATGAATGCTTAGACACTCTTTAGGAAGCTAACCTAGAGCTTTATCCAGTTTCCTCTAAATAGCAACTGAAAACATAGAGCGTAGTTATAGAAATGAGATGAAGTGATGAGTCCTCATCTAAGCTAGTAGCAGTCATCAGTGTTGTATTAAGGGTTATGCTTGTGTTTTCTAAGATCTAATCACTTATTATACAAGTTACTTAGAATTGTTGCTGTCATTTATCATCTTGTTTAATACCATTGGGGACACCTGTGACTAATTTTTAATATTAAATTGGGTTTTGTGTAGGCATGTATTATCTATAGGGTGAGTCGTGTTAATTGGGATTTCCTTGAAACACAGCTAATTCAACATTATAATATATAGTCACCAAGACAAGGGTCTGAAACAATGTATTAACTCCTTTTTAGTTCTCTGGGACTGAATTTGTGCAGAAAATAAGAAAGGCACTGTATATTTTAAAGTAGACCAATAAATGTTCTAAAAGTTGTTGTGTAATGCTGTTTGCTTAGAATTCGGTGTTTTTCATATAAATGGCAATTTCACTGACTAACCCACAAACCTACTGATCTTTTTTATTTTTCTTATTAAAAAACAATATAGTAGGACCTTCCCTGGTGGCACAACAGGTTGAAAGTACAGCACTGTGAAGCTATCCGAGGTACTGCAGCACAAGTTGGCATCTTGTCCAGGGAGGTGACCACGTGGCATGGCAGACCTCTCCTGACCCACCTGCTGCTCCCCTCAGAAGTGTATTTTAATCAGTTGATCTGTTCTGCTCCCCACTCTGTCTCTGGTGAATCCTCTCATCCCCCAAACCTCTGGCCTGTACCCCAGTTCTTGTATTCATGAATAAATCTTTTAAAATATATATAGATTACATGTATAGATTTCAACCATGTTAAAGATTTCAGTGAGTTTTTGTGTTTTGCCTCACTTGGAAATCTAGCCACTGTTTATCTTTTCCTATGTTAAAATTTGTTCAATAGAGTATAAGATGGAATAAAAGTCTTTTATCTCCTCAATAAATATCAGAAAGAATTGAAGGCTGTGTTTGAGGATGAAGTGCAGAGGTGGGGTACACAATTCTCAAAGTGTGTTTTCTGGTATCCTTAATACCTGTGGAGTAAAAAAATTATTTTCGTACTTAATACTAAGTATTGTTTGCCTCTTGCACTGTGTTGGCATTGATGAGGCAAAATTTATGCCAGAGAAAACTGACACTTTAACACAGGTCAGCAATGGCCAAATACTTGTAGTTTTTTGTTTTTAAAGTCATTGTCACTTAAAAATCTTGATGGAATAATAAAATTATTTTATCTTATTATTGCTCTACTTTTGAATTTAAAGTATTTCACATTGCAAAATGGAAAGTATTCATAAAGTACTAAGAAAGTATGAATGGTTGGCGCACCAGCAAGCCACTTTGATGATTGAGCTAAATGTCTCCTTTTTTCATGAAACATGAAAGTTACTTGAAAGAATAATTGACCTACAAACTGCGGCTATTCAGATTTAAATATTTAGTCTTTTTCTTAAAAATGAAGCAGAGCCCTCCCTGGTGGTGCAAGGAGTTAAGATACAGTCTATGAACCTATCCACAGCCACTGCATCATGAGTTGATTCCCAGCCAGGGAGCTAAACCCACATTTGGCTCAGCAGACCTCTCCTGTCTTGGCCAAATGCTCCCCTGATCTGCTCCCCACTCTGTCTCTCTTGAATCTACACATACACAGTTGGAACCACAATTCCAACCAAAGCAATCGATGCCATAACCCTTTCTCTGAACCAAAATACTGTACAACATACAGCTAAAAGTGTATGTTTCTTGTCATGTTCTATCTATGGGCCAGTCTTCAGGATATAAGTAGTTGGTTTACATTAAATAATGTTGGTGCTTGGGGTTATATATTTTTAGCCACAACTATAATGCTTATAATCAAGTTAAAAATTACTAATTAACGGCCCTCCCTGGTGGCACAGCGGGTTAAAGCATAGCACTGAGAAGCTTGAGCCACTTGCACATGAGTTCGATTCCCGCCTGCCCCGGAGGTGACCACATGGCGTGGCAGACCTCTCCTGACCCGCCCGCTGCTCCCCTCAGCAGTGTACTTCCTCGATCTGCCTGTTCTGCTCCCCACTCTGTCTCTGGTGAAGCCTCTCGCTGCCCCTGCACCTCTGGCCTGTACCTCAGTTCTGTATGCATAAATAAATAAATCTTTAAAAAAAATTAAGTATTCACAGATAACCACTGTTAATATTTTTATCCTTTACCCTCAATAAATGAATGCATCTGTATTTTTAAATTCTGTTATATTATTCTGACAATTTTTATATGCATAAGTATATAACATTCATTGTGTAACCAAAATCTGAACATTGTGACTTTGCTGTTTTTGTGACTGTAATTAAGATAAATGTGAGCTACTCTAGGATTAATCTGTTAGCCTTAATGTTATGGTCACACTAAAGATCAGAAACTTATAATACCTTAATAAAAATTTTCTTCAAAAAATTTTATCTTGATATATCAGTTCATAAAGTGATCGTTAAAATATTTTCAGTAAGCATTATCTTCTTCCCTTTTCCAACAGAAGATAAATCCTCTTTGGTAAAACATACCTCACAGCTCACACTTAAGAAAAACCAGGTGCATCCTGCTTATATCCCACTTACCAAACAATATAACGCCCATATGGTCTGAAAAATGTCTAGCTGGTGTCTGCATCACCTCCTTAGAGCCTGCCTTCATATTGTCATTTTAACTTTACTTCAGGCTGTCTTTATTATATGAACATATAAATGTTTTACTCCTTTCTCTATGCAGAAATACTAATTCCCCCCCTTCATTCAGCCTTCCTCTTCATCTCTCAGTTATCAAATTATAACTACTTTAAAATTTTATTTTTAATGTAAGTACACTTAGTATTATTACTGAGTATATGTATATGCCCAAAGACACATACACATGATCTTACTCACTTAGATGTAGTAAATAACTTTATAATCAAATGTAATTACCAGTCAAAATCCTGTTTAGTGGGAGAAGTATGTCTTTCCTAACATATGTATACTTTTGTATCAGAACTTATTAGGGGTCTCTCTGCTGGTTTTAAATATGCGTAATCTACTTTCTCAAAAAGAACATACATACAAGTGTATAAAAATAAGCTTGAAGTTTCTGTTGAATCAGCCTTTTAGATAAGAAGGGTTACTTGACTCCCTGGATAGAGTATACAGGGTAAAAGATATGTGGTCTCATATGTGTGACTTTCAGCCTGATTCTGGATCTACTTTTGCCAATGTTCCAGATGGGTCAAATTCTATGGGACTGTGCACAACTTGTTAGGAAATAACTTGCCATGAGAATATCAAAATTTCAGAGAGATCTTCAGTGGCACATTTCATCCTTCAACAAAGTTTAAGCCTGTGTTGTGAGCATGGAATCAGATTGGGGGATATGGGTTGATAATTTATTATAAGCAGGTTTCCACTCTTTGACTAGAAATGAACCTATCAGAGACCTATACTTTTGCTTGGCTGACCAAGATACTCTTTGGGATTCTCTTTTTAAGACTTCATGTTGTCTTTTTATTGAACTATTCACTCTTAGAATCAATTGATTTTGTTGAATCTCTTGATATGATAGTTTAATTGTACTTCCTATAAACTGCATAATTCTCTTAACTGGTCATGACTTTTCAAGCATTTTCTTAGCCAACCATTCACTATCTTTGTTAGAAGTGATTACTTATTTATTGGTAACCACTGTCATGAGTTTTCATAATTTTGCAAATTGTACTCAAAATAGATGCTATATTTTCTAATTTTCAGTTGGTAAAAGGATTATTACTGTTTTGTTCATATCCATACCATTCTTTACCTTGTTATTAACTTTTTTTTTTTTTTTTTTGCCTATCTGTTTCAGGCATTACCATAACTCTGAAACATGTCTGATAACGGAGAACTGGAAGACAAGCCTCCAGCACCTCCTGTGCGAATGAGCAGTACCATTTTTAGCACCGGAGGCAAAGACCCTTTATCAGCCAATCACAGTTTGAAACCTTTGCCCTCTGTTCCAGAGGAAAAAAAGCCCAGGCATAAAATCATCTCTATATTCTCCAGCACAGAGAAAGGTAAATAGCTACTGTTGTTTCAAAAGTCTATTATTTTACCCATTTGATGTCTTTTTAATTATATTATAATAAATTGACTTTTTATAATGGTGAAAACAAGAAACAGATCCAAGAAAAACAGTTCATGGTGGTATACAGGAACTCTTAGGTATTTGATTTCCATCTAAAACTTAAGTTGTTTTTCATCCTACGTGTTATATTCAGTGAGTTTCTTTTCTCTTTTTTTTAAATTTACTTGTTTATTCATACAGAACTGGGGTACAGGCCAGAGATGCGGAGGGTGAGAGGATTCACCAGGGACAGAGTGGGGAGCAGAACAGGCAGATTGACAAGTATACGGCTGAGGGGAGCAGTGGGGGGGCCAGGAGAGGTCTGCCGCACCATGTGGATCTCCTTGGGACAGGCAGGGATCGAACTCATGCGGAAGTGGCTTTAGTTTTAGTGCTGTGCTTTAACCCGCTATACCACCAGGGAGTGCCTCACTGAGTTTCTTTATCTCTTGCTTTCTAAGACCTGGAGGATGGTTTATGGATTCCAAATTTTAGTGATATTTGAGAAAGAAGTCTATCATAACAATGCTAAGGTAGAGCCTACAACCCCCTTTCTGAAATTGTGGAGGCCAACTGTTTTGAAATTGAGTTTTTCTGATTTTTGAGTAGTTATGCTCACTCACAATTACATGCATACACATATATGAGATAAAATATATGTAATAAAAATATATATCATATAGAATAACTCCTTCAGAAGCATCTGAGGCTAGCTATCACATTAATTATCTTCTGCAAACACGAATCTAGTCCAAGTTTGTACTGACTTTAGTACTATTGACTTTTGGGGTAAAATAATGCTTTCCAGTAGCTGTCCTGTGCTTTATGAGCTGTTTCATGACATTCCTAGCTTTTACCCTGTAAATGTCAGTAACACTTGTCACCTAGTTGTTGTGACAAACAGGAATGTCTCTGGATATTGCCAAATATTTCCCATAGTGCATAATTGCTCCTATTTAGGAATCAATGGTTTAGTCACACAAATGGAATAAAGACTATAAATAATCACATATAACTTTAAGTCATTAGATTTATTTTAGGACCAAATCTAAGGAAAGAACTAGTTTTCAGAACTTTTTGGTTTTAGAACTCAGTAAGAATTCATGGATTCTAATAGGTTGTAGAATAAGGGTTAGGGATTTTTTAATTTTAAATATTCAGCTTGGCAGTATGGTCCATCACTCGTAATAGATGCAAGTAGAGATAGATTTAGATTTCATAGGTAGGTAAACACAAGTGGAAGAAGATTGGTGTGTTACATATCTCTTATAATTTTGTTTTTACTTCCAAGATTTCATGTGAGATGGTAGTTGAAAAGCCTCGTGGTATGTATTTTTTAAGTTGATTTATGAAAAGTGATGGGGTGTATATTTGGCATGTGTGAGATGGAAAATGTATTTAGACTAGATTCGATAAAGAATGAAGGAGGAAATTATGAAATGAATTAAAATTGTGTTGGGGCCCTCCCTGGTGGCACAGTGGGTAAAGCACAGCACTGAGAAGCTAAAGCCACTTCTGCATGAGTTCGATTCCCGCCTGCCCTGGAGGTGACCACATGGCAGACCTCTCCTGACCCGCCCGCTGCTCCCCTCAGCAGTGTACTTCCTCAATCTGCCTATTCTTTCTGCTCCCCACTCTGTCTCTGGTGAAGCCTCTCACCACCCCTGAGCCTCTGGCCTGTACCCCAGTTCTGTATGCACAAATAAATAAATCTTTTAAAAAAAAATTGATGTGTTGGAAGAGGATGAAGAAATGTATTTGTGTTGGTGGGCACTAAATCTTCATCCTCCATAGTAGCAAGTCAGTATATTTAAAGTAGGAAAACTTGGAAATGACATTGAAATTATGGAGATCATTAAAAAATTTAGGGAAGTTAATATATTATTAAAATGCGGGCCCTCCCTGGTGGTGCAGCGGGTTAAAGCACTGCACTAAGAAGCTAAGGCTACTTCAGCATGAGTTCGATTCCCGCCTGCCCTGGAGTTGACCACATGGCGTGGCAGACCTCTCCTGACCTGCCCGCTGTTCCCCTCAGCAGTGTACTTCGTCGATCTGCCTGTTCTGTACCCTTCTCTGTCTCTGGTGAATCCTCTCACCCTCCGCATCTCTCGCCTGTACCCCAGTTCTGTATAAATAAATAAATAAATCTTAAAAAAAAAATGCATTGTTACTTCAATTTAAAAGAATTGTTTTCCAGCCCCAAAAAGCAATGCCAGAAGGAATTACCCAGTTTCCTGAATGCAAATGAGGAAGGGGAATGTTCAAGATAGGGTAAACATACTTAGAGACAGCTGTGGAGAGGGGAAGGAAGAGTATAAAATGAAACAGAAGCAAAGAGAAAGTATGGACAGTTCTGAACTTTGGGTATAAGTAGGGCTTGTAGTAAATTGCTTATGCATTATTTACCTAAATACTCGTTATTAGTTCCCTTTTCTTCCTTTCTCTCAGAATTATCAACTGCAACTTAAAGTTGCACCTGACAAAATGAGATCAAGAGTACTGGTGTCCTAGGAATGACTCTGATTGCACTTAGATTTTTAAACTCCTATGACCTGTAATTAATATTCAGTAAATTTTTTGGTGATTTCTAAAATTTTTGTTTTCTTGTGTTTATTATATTCAAAATCTAAGAACCTTTTTGCGCTAGTTTTAAAACTTAAACTCTTAAACTTTTCCTCTTATTCATTTTCTTCCTCTTTAAATTATTTATTATAGAAAATTACATATACAAAATATACTGAATTGTCACCCAGCTTCAGCAGTTACCACTCTGCTTCCACATATTGTCCCAAACAGTCTAATCCTTCTGTTGCACTCAGGCAACTAATTTTTCACCTCTGTTCGGTTTTAATCTGTTTTACAACTTCATATAAAGACAGTTCTGCTTTAACTTTTTAGTTTTGTGATGACATGATACACACGAAAGTAAATTTTTTAATAACCTACCCTTGTTTCCACCTCCTAGCTGGAATTTTATTGGTATCCCTGTCCCTATCTGCTATGCTTTCCTATCTCTCTCCTCAATAGTCATCATCCCGAATTTTGTGTTTTTATTCCTTTGCAGTATAATTTTGTAGCACAGGCAAGCAGTGTAACTTTCCACAGAGAAGTGCCTGGTGGGCTAGGGAGGGCATGGCTCCCCTTAAACACAGTGTTTATGCCAACTTGCAATATAATTTTATGATGTAATATCTCCCAACTTATATATAATTTAGGCTTGCCTGTTTGGGAGTCCTTTATACATGGAATTATACTCAGACCCTCTATTTATCACCCACCTTTATGTTTTTGAGACCCAAATTGATACACATACTGCTATAGTTACTCATTTTTCACTACTGATAGATAAGTAGCTATAGTTTGTTCGTTTTCATTACTTTGTACTAGTACCCTGTAGAAATATGGCATTTTATTTAGCTTATCTGCCATTACACATTGGGTTGTTTTCAATAGTAACATTCACTGTGAGTAATCTTGAACATAACTGTTAGTAGACGTATGCAATATTTATCCAGGGCAATACTTCAAAGATTAAGCAACCCATTAATTTAGTTATTCTTGATTTTAATTGCTTGCTTATTAGAATTATTTAAGAAACTTAAAATAATAAAATCTATGTCCAAACTGCATCCTAAACCAACTGAATCAGTTTTGAGGTACTTAACCTGGGCATCAGTTTTGTTTTCGTTTCAGTTAAAATATTGCAGGAGTTAAAAAAACAATACATTAGTAGACTATGAAATTTATTTAGTGGAAGATAGTAGATGGAGTACAATAGAAGTAAGCAGAACATGGGCCCTCCCTGGAGGTGTAACAGGTCAAAGCACAGCACTATGAAGTTATCACAGCCACTGCAGTAGGAGTTTGATACCTAGCCAGGGAGGTGACCCACATGGCTTGGCAGACCTCTTCTGACCTACCTGCTGCTCCCCTCACCAGTGTATTTCAATCAGTCTACCTGTTTTGCTCCCCACTCTCTCTGGTGAATCCTCTTACCCTCTGCGCCTCTGGCCTATACCCAAGTTCTCTATGCATAAATAAATAAATCTTTAAAAAATAGAAATGAGCAGAATATTGCACATAATGAAAGGGTTCTTTCATTGAAATTTGTTCCATTTATGTGTATATCAGGTCAGGGTGTAAAATGTATCAGGGTGTGTCCTACTAAAGATGTAAAGGTTGCTCTGCTATGTGTATGTAGGAGTAGCATCCCTGAGTTGCAGAGTATTCCCATATTTGACTTAACTTTTTTATGTTCATTCTTACCCTCAAAAGATGAATGTTCCCATTTCTGAACAGCCTTGCCAAGTATTGTATTACAGTACCTTAGTTATTGCTGACTTGGGAAAGGCGAAATGGTCTCATTTTGTTTAGTTTGCCTTTCTCTGTTGACTGGGTGAAATTAAACATCTTCTCATATGTTAATTTATCATTCACTTGAGCTTTTCCTTTGACATCTATTCTTTAATCCTTTTATATACTAAGTTTTTTCCTTACTTAACAGTAAATATCACTAGTAATCTGTATACCAATCCTTTAATAGCTATTTTGTTAAATACAGTTTTCCAGATTATGATTTGCCTTTTTACCCTTTTAGTGGTATCTTTTGATGAATAGAAGTTACTAACTTTGGTGTAGTTAAATTAATTCCTTTTTGGTTTGGATTCTATGGTTTGACTAGGGGTCAAAGATCCTATGTTATTTCTACAAGTTTTACAATTTGCCTTTTACATTTTTAATGTGTATGTGTGTGTGTCTATCTGTAACGCACGATATATTTCACTTTTTTAAAAAAATGGGATGGACAGAGTCCCAGACTGTTTATCATTGAAATGTTTATCATTTCCTATGTGCCTGTAATACTAGCTGTTATTTTATCAGCTGTTATTTTATCTGGCTTTGTGTATGTCAGGCTCTTTTTCTGTTTTCTGCTTTGCTATGTTAGCTTAT